AGCTTTGCTCGTAGCATTTGGTGTGGAATTTTACTCCCAAATTTTTTAATAATTAGGGAATATTTCTAAGGTTGGTAGAGTCTGACTTTGCCTTCATTCGTTAGTGGAACCGGGATGTTCCCGGCGTTTAGTTCAAATAAGGAAATATAGGATGATTGGTGCGGTAGTTGGTACATGGTAGATGAGAATTGGTTTGCCTCAAGAAGGATTTCCTTAATGGAGTTCTTTTGGGGCATATATTCTTCCATGCATATATAGCTTCCCCCCCCCCCCCCCCTATTATGTCACCTTTTTACTAATTACTTAGATAGTGATTTTCTTTCGAAATCTGTCGAGATCAGCTCGAATACAATAATAATAACAATGTACCTAGTGTATGAGATCAGAAGTTGCATTATCAAATAGCCCTCATGTTAATGTCCTTTTTTTAAATGGATTGTTTGGGTACACGCGCTGAGAACCAAGGGTGATGTTTATTTAAGTGTTGGTTAAGTTCAATTTTGCCTGTCGTTTGTTTCTTAACGTTTACTATCTCACAAAGAAGTAGGAAAGGTTAAGTGAAGGAAGGAATTTACTTGCATTTACTTTTCTAAAAGGCCTTTTTTAAAGTTTTTAAAAGTCATTTTACATGCATAGTTAAGTTTTTGTTTGTGAATGTTGTTGTGATGCCATTTGTACTTATAATACCACCAAGGAATGTGTAGAAATGGATTAGCTCCGTTTGGTAATAGATTTTGCCAAGATTTTTTAAATTTTTTTGGCAAATACTTATTTGTTTATAGATTTTATTCATATTTTGATAAATATTTAAATCTCAAAACCAACTCAAGAGTCGTTTTTCGCCCAAAATATTACCTTTTGGTTTTTAAAAAAAAATTTAAAAATTACCCTAAACTTTTGATTTTATAAAAAAGCTCACTTTCTGTTATTATGACCCAACTCATATCTACCAGCTTTTCCCTCATTAAACTCTCGCGGTTTTGCCCTTCTCTATAAAAAGAGGAAAACCTTCGCTAAAGTTGTTGTGTCAATCTGTGGCAATCCACCGTAAAGACAAAATTTGAAAGTAATTTGCTAAAATATGCTAATGTTTATATAAATTTTGTTCAGATTTATTTCGCTTGTTTTATATGAATTTTTTCAAATTTGTTTCGCTTGTTTTGTATGAATTTTTTCAGAGTTGTTGGGTATTTTTGATAGTTTTTAAAATTTATAGGTATAAGTCACATTTCATAATTTTTCAAAAAAAAAATAAAATATATTTTGAAAAATTATGTCCAAACAGATTTTCCTTCAAACTAAACTTCATCCAAATTAAATTTTTTAAAATAAATTTGAGAATAATGCTAGCTTAGAAACCTTCACCTTTAATTGTCAGGTTCAACTATTCAAGTCTATGAAATGAAGAAATTCTTATTAGGAACTATTTCCCCTTATGGACCCAACGTGGTCTGAATTAGTTCGGCCGGAGCTTAATACTTAATGACTAAACAAAAGAAGATGACATTTCTACCACATATTTATACTATAATATGTTACTTTAAATTTTATTTATAATTTAACTTAGACGTGATGAGTATTTTGTCGGGAAATAATCTATTTCACAATTTTATTTTACTTTTTTTCTTATCATTTGCAGTGACGAAGCCAGAAATATTTCTAAGAGTATTCAAACTTGAAAGAAGTAGAAAAAAATTCCGACAAAGGGCATTCAATATAAATTTTATATATTTAAAATCAATATTTTACTTATATACACAGTGTAATTTTTCATAATTTTTCGGCGAAGGATAATCAGACCATCCTTTGATCAGGGTGGCTTCGCTCATGATCATTCGATTCTATCCTTCTATTTTATAAAAGCTCTACAAAATATAAAAATAAAATAAAACACATGCAAATGAACCTCATGACAGCAAATATGACATCACCTTGAGCCAAAGCTGTGGATACTATAATAGTGGCAAGGCCACCATCACTCTCTCTCTTAAATTGTTTACGGAGGAGCAACATTTTTGAACCGAGGATCTATTAGAAATAATTTTTCTACTTTTACAAGGTAAGAGTAAGATTTGCGTATATTTTATTATTTTTCCAGAACTCATAATGTGGGAATACATTTAGTATGTTGTTATTGTTGTAGGCAGCGTATAATATAGGAGATTACGTAAATTTAGAAGATTTTGTTCGAACTCGATATATATATATATATATATATATATAAAGAAACCCATTAAATATTTATAAGTATTTAATTATGAACTTAATTATTATTACTATATATTAATTTAAAATCACCTACAAAAATTTATAAATTTTAAATCCGTCTTTACACCATGGATAATAACTTTAAACTCTATATTTTTCTTCCATATGTATCTCTGGATAATCCCAAAACATTCCAAATGCATTAATATCTTGTATCGCCCCCCTCGTCCGCTTCACATTATCATAAAGAAGAGACGTGGTCATTTAACCAGATGATGACTGATGACTCCCA